GTTGGATGGTAGATTGCACCATTGGTGGCATCTATCTGTTCAGCATCACCAAGGCTGAGGTGGTGTTTGATTTCCTGGTGTGTGTGTTTTCCCACAGTCCAGCTAAACCTTCTGTTTCTGCTAGCCTTGTCCAAACAGTCAGCCTCCAGTAGTCTCAGCCATCAATCACTATCTCCTGGTTAGCTCAATATCTGCCGTTATCATACCTTACTTTTAGAGAGAGGGTGGCGACAGCCTAGCGGTATTATCGGTAGATTATTAATCCAGAGACCCAGATAACATTCTGGGGACCCAGGTTCAAATGCCGCCATGGCAGATGGTGGAATTTGAATTCAATAAAATATTCAATTAAGAATCTAATGATGACCATGAATCCATTGTCAATTGTCCCATCTGGTTCACTAATGCCCTTTAGGAAAGGAAACTGCCATCCTTACTTGGTCTGGCCTACATGTGACTCCAGACCCACAGCATTGTGGTGGATTCTCAACTGCCCTCTGGGCAATTAGGGATGGTGCAATAAATACTGCCAGGCCAGCGACGCCCTCATCCTGTTAATGAATAAAGGAAAAAAAAAATGTTCTTGTAGCTGGTGTATGGCACCCTGTAGGTTGCGACCTATTGGCACATTCATTGTACAGATGGTCTATGGGCACACAACTGTAATCTGTCCCACCAGAGTCAGCAGTGACATCATTGGCTTAGCAATGGAATTAATGTGCCCCAGGCCTCCACAAGTTGATGATCTTGTTCTCGCTGAACTATTTCCTCAAAACAAGATGTTCTTCAAGGCCAGGCCCTCTATAAACATTTTCCTCTCTGTGACACCCTACCTCTCTGACCAAACAGCTGTCTCAAAATCTTTTTGTATGGTTTTGCAGCTGGCTTCGTTTGACATTTGTGTGTTACACAGATAATGAGAACTTTTAATGAGCTGGCACAGGCAGAATAGGCTAAATGGTCTCTCCTTATTATAAAAATAATAGACAAGTTATAATAATAGACATGTTGGAATACCTGGAGGCTACCTTTCCTGTTGTGTATCTTGCCTGGAGAGATGACGCAGCAGCAAGTAATGGGATGTAATGCAGAAGAGACAGCACCGAGATCGTCACGAAGAAATCATAGCTCATCCTATTTTGACTAAAGTATCTTTAGTGATGGACAAAGGAGTGGAAAATAAAACCAATGATACAGCTCAGAATGCGCTACACCACTGGATGAATCTCTGACAGAGAACCGTATCTAAAGAACATTTACAGACAGCTGCAGCGCAAATAATGTTAACAAAGAACTACGGATGAAGAAAATCAGAAATAAAACCAGAAATTGCTGTAAAAATTCAGCGGGTCTGGCAGCATCTGTGGAGAGAAATCAGAGTTAACCTTTTGGGTCCAGTAACTCTTCTTCAGAACATTGCTGTGTACTGTGACAAAGTTCTTCAATCACAAGAAAATGCCCACATATATCTATGATGCTATTTCAACCTTTAAAAAAGACAAAACCACTTCACCATGCAGTATGCTACTCTGCTGCATTGTAATGTATAACACATATTTATGTCTACGGGCCAATACGTCTCTTTCCCTGGACACCTAGTGATTGACTGCCCCTCACCGGATCCTAAAGTCAGCCTGCTCACATCATTTCTAGCTCTTCCTTTATTCTTTTCAGTTCTCATCCTCTACAATCATTGTCATGGTGAAGTATCTGCATTTGAATCTTTAGACAGCAGTGCGATCTTCCAGAAATTTGAAATGCCTGATGCAGAGCAAATACTTTACCAAAAAGAATTTATACACGCACAAGATTTCTTAGGAGGAGTTGTTCTTTTCCCATAATGTGGAAACGCTCATGTACAACTTACTACCAGTGGTGATGGCCTAGCGGTATTATCACTAGACTATTAACCCAGAAACATAGGTAATGTGCTGGACACCAGGGTTCAAATTCAACTCAGTTAGATGATGGGGTTTGAATTCAATAAAAGCGAAGCTGGAATTAAGGATCACATGACCATGAATCAATTGTCAGGACAAATCCATCCGGTTCACTAATGTCCTTTAAGAAAGGTACTCACTGTGGGCAGTTAGGGTCAGGCATTATATGCTGACCCAGCCAGAGATACCTACATCCACAAACAATTTCATCTCATATACAAGGTTCAGCTTCCTAAATACAACTGGCATAATTTGCCTTTTTATTAAGCACCAGCTCAGTCCACATATGGAGCATACTTATTTATTTGTCTCAATTGTAACCTTCACTTACTTCCAGTCCAATATTATTCATTAGGTTTGGCTATAGATATGTTTAAATCAATCTGTTCATGTTATGACACATCACTGGAGTATATGGTAACAGAACTCCAACATCGTGGACCAGAGGTAGGGGCATTGAATCACAAGGGATAGTAAGAACTGCCGATGCTGGAGAATCCGAGATAACAAGCTGTACAGCTGGATGAACACAGCAGGCCAGGCAGCATCATTACAGGAAAGATGTGGAAGTGTTGGAAAAGATGCAGAGGAGATTTACCAGGACGTTGCCTGGAACGGAGGGAAGGTCTTACGAGGAAAAGTTGAGACAGCTAGGGCTTTTCTCTTTAGAACGACAAAGGATGAGAGGTGACTTGATAGAGGTGTACAAAATGATCAGAGGTAGAGATACAGGGGACGGCCAGAGACTTTTTCCTATGGTGGAGGTAGCTATTATGAGGGGGCATAGTTTTAAAGTGAGTGGAGGTAGATACAGGGGAGATGTCAGAGATAGGTTCTTTACTCGGAGAGTGGTAGGGACATGGAATGCATTGCCGGAGAGGGTAGTGGAGTCGGCCTCATTAGGGGCATTTCAGTGGCTATTAGATAGGCATTTGGATGACAGTATAAGGTAGGAGTGGAGGTTAGATAGACCTTAGGTTTATGGTAAAAGTTCAGCACAACATAGTGGGCGAAAGGGCCTGTACCGTTCTATGAAAGCTGATGTTTTGGGTTTGGACCATTTCTGAAGGGTCCAGACCTGAAACATCAGCATTCCTGCTCCTCTGATGCTGTCTGTCATGGCATCACAAGATGCACATAGAGCAGTTATCAGCTGGACTGAGTGGTCTGTTTCTGTCCTGTGGATTCTGTTCCATATAGTACAAGAGTCATTATTATAGCCAATAACATATTGCTGTATCTGTCACATTTGGCCTTTGTGCGTAAATAAATCACATAACTTTAGCCTGCAAGAACTGAACTTATGACATTACCATGCACTCTCAGAAGTGACAACAAAGCTTGAAGAACAGCCCATCTACTGCCTAGCAACATGGGATAATTGTTAAAAATGGGCAGGATACTCTATACACAGTGGTGAAGATGCATGCTTTAGTTCAAAAGGGATGTTGTGCTTTAGTAAACTGTACAGCTGCAAGTGGAGAGGACAGTCTTGCACCTTGTGTAGAGACTGAATGAATAATGATGTACTAGTTCGAGGGGCAAACCTTCAGGAAACAAAGATACGACATTCCAGAATCCTGTACAAGCAATATTTATTGTTTTTGTACAATACATTAGTAATCATTTCCCAAACTTTTTCCTTCCAGCCAAAGTAACCAACGAGCCAACTCAAAGGGAACTTGTCTTACATAATAACCAATTACCAAGCTAATTCCTTACAACTGATCCCATTGCTGGTGGTAGACGGTTGGTATCTACTTGCAGGGCAAAACATAAACACAACATGCCAGCCAACCATTGGAAGTACACCTTTCCTTTGAATTCAACACAAGTTATAAACTGGATGCTCAAAAGGTTACCCAGCTGTTTGGTGAACTCAATCTGAGCCTGGAACCTAAGGAGTCAAGTCTACAGATCATATGTGGGGGGGGGGGGGAAAATCACTGCTAACTAAATATGCAACCCAAATCAGACATGTACAGCTCATTCAAAAGAATCAATATTCTCTTACAAATATCCTGTGAGCAAATCACTCTCTGGTTAAGGTTGGAAATGAATACAAGGTTTCCTACTGGGTTTTGGTCCATTATTGAATAACTTGCCAGTCTGTCACATTGGTTCTGTTTACTCAAGAACAAACTGACCCTCATCAAAACTGTTAAGTATTCAGATGGGGCACCTGCTTGTGGACTAGCAGGTAGCAGTGTAGCTATGTGGCCTCACCCTGCCTCGTGGGTTGTTCCCAAGTTGAGGTGGTTTGGCTGAAACCCTGCTGCAAACAAGGCAGACCCTGCGAGCGATATGCTACAACTGAGCTGCTTCAGGTTAAGGGAGTTACGCGTACCTTTTACATGACGTGTCCAGAATCTAAAAAAAAACACCAACAAAGTTGGGAATGTGGACAAGGAGGAAGTAACTTAAAACCCAAGTTCTGGGGTGACACCACTGAAAGTAAACAACAGAAATTTTAAAAGTTTATATACAGTAAATACATTTCCCCAAGGACTTCATTCAGTAATTGGCAGAATCAGAATCATGTCCCTACAATATTTACTCATCAAGATCTCCGAAGTGTGACATCTAAAGACCCCAGTGATTTCATTCAGCTTTGGTTCCTGCTTTTGAGGAAGAACATTTTCTGGAATGCTCTGAAAGGATCTGTGGGGAATGTGGAACAAGAATTACAAGTTAACAAAGCAATACTTTGTATAGCTGGAAGGATTTTTGTGTTTTGTTTTAAAACAGCATGGAAGCTGGGATCATTAAACCAAAAACTAGACCTAAGCATGTCAGGAGACCTTTCACCTCCTGAGGCGACAAATACTCAGCAGTTCTAGCAGCACGTGTGGAGGGGGGAAAAGGGAATTAATGCTTCAGATCAGACACCTCTTGTCAAAGCAGTTTTGTAATCATGCAGGGAGCAGATCCGGGAAAAGGTCCTCATCACAAAACATTTGTCTCTCTGCACAGATGCAGCCTAACTGCTGAGCATTCCTAGCACTTTGTTTTTTTAACCAACATCCAGCATTTTGTTGGTGTCTACAGCGATGACCGATCCACCTTAATCGTCAACTTGCTTGCAGCAGCTTCATCAATAAACCAGTGCACTTCACCTTTCACTGGCCGAACACGAGCAGCAGGGAGCGGGTTCTCACTGTGACCTTCTAGAATGTCCTAGGTAGGCGATAATAGAAAATTACTAAGAAACCAAGCTCCAGATTGCTTCAACTAGTAATATTGAAGCATTCTGCCCTGTCAACGAAAACCTGGGAAACATAATTTAAACAGTCTAGCTGCATTAGATTTGAGCAGCAATCTCAGTGGTAGTGCAACACTGAGTCTCAAAAAGCAACACAAGATGGAACACAAAGGAACAGAGATTACATTAGTTTTTGTAAATCTCTGGTTAGAGGAATGCATTCAGTTGTGGGTACCACATCTCAGGCAGGGCACACTGGCTATGAACTGCGAGATGTGCAAATTCTCCAGTGTTACCAAGACTTGGGCTTAAGTCAGATGAAGAAAATACACAGTACAGGCTTGTATGCCCTCGGACACAGACAACAGAATTGATTTGATTGAATTGGAGCTGCCTAACATGTGACAGAGAGCAAGAGAGCGAGTGAGTCACAATGGAAAGAGAGACAGGGGCGGGGGGGGAAGAGAAAGTACCAGAGAAAGAAAGTAAGAAAGAAACTATAATTTTGGTAAAGGAGTCCAGAACAATGAGTCATAACCTTAAAATGAGAATTAGGAATGATGTGAGGCATCACTCCTAAAGCGAGAGTGGGAATTTGGAACTTTCTTCCACAACAAAATCTGTTGACAGTGTCAAATCTAAGACTGTCTCGATCTTGTTTACAGGATTATTAAGGGATATGGAGTTAAGATACAGATGTTTGGACTGAACAATGGAATTTAAGGGCTGGCTGAGCTCTTCCTGCTGCTAAAAACAGCTTCTTACCTTTACCACAGCAGCCTTGCTTTCACCAGTCACCACAAACAGAGCACAGCGTGCTGCATTCAGCAAAGGTAGGGTCATGGTTATACGCTTTGGTGGAGGTTTAGGTGAGTCACTGATTGGAGCAATGATCTTGCTTTGTTCCTGTCACAGAGAAGAGGAGACACTGCATCAATGGAGGCATTATAACGTCTGGGTTAGAATCAGCAGATCCCTATCACTAGCAATTCGAAACATTTCAAAAAGCTTATCTTGTTAATCCTTATCCAACCCCTAATCAACTTACTCTTCTTTGTCAATTGAAAGGAGGAATTTTCCTCTCTATGGCATCTTTCACCAGCTGAGGACATTCCAAAACATTTTACACCCTACTAAATACTTTTCGTTTGAGGAAAGGAGGGGTGGGGGTCATTGTTGAAATGTAGAGATGGTGAGCAATCCTGACTGACAGGGGTAGTTGTTGAGGGGGAAGAGAGGGCAACCTGCTCCGACACCCACATCATATGCTCCTCACATATCCCCGCCCCGCACTCTTTCTAGTCTCAGCTTCATTCAAGAGTAACTCAGTGCGTAGCACTCCCACCTCAGAGTCTGACGTTTGTAGGGTCAAGTCCCACTCCAGAGACTGGAGTTCCATGCTGCCACTTTATTGGCACCAAGAACGATGGCAGTATGAAGTCATTATCTCAACATGTTTTCTGACACAGACTCTTTCAACAGGCAACTGCAAACACTGTCAACAAAAGTAATTTGAGGATCTGCATTAGCTGTGATCCAGTGGTTCCCTCAGTTCGAGAAGGTTGTGTTTTCAAGCCCTGTGCCAGGAACCTGAGCAATCCTGGAACTTCCTCCTGAAGGGCATTGTGGATCAACCCACAGCATGTGGACTGCACTGATTCAAGAAGGCACCACCTTCTCAAGGGCAACAGGGGACAGGTAATAAGTGCTGGCCCAGCCAGCGATGCCCATATCCTACGCATGAATGAAAAAAATCCAGGTTGACATTACCAGCACAGTGGTGAAAGGGTGCCACAGTGTCAGAAACAGTCTTTAACATGCAAGATCAAACCAAGGCTGCCTCTACCTTCATACATTGATATAAAAGATCACGTGAGACAGAAAACAGAAAGGGAGCTCTTCCATGGTCCTTGGTAATATTCAGCCCTCAATCAATAACACAAAACACATAACCTGGTCAACATTATTTCTGAAGAAGAGTCTAGGCCCGAAACGTCAGCCTTCCTGCTCCCCTGATGCTGCTTGGCCTGCTGTGTTCATCCAGCTCTACACCTTGTTATCCCAGCATCCCTGCTGCTTGTGGAGCTCGCTGTGCATAAACTGACAGCCAGGTTCCTACATTACAAAAGTGCCTACAGTTCAAAAAGGACCTCATTGGCTGTAAAACACAATGGGGACATGCTGATATATTGAAAAGTGCAGTGATATGGTGTTGAAAGGCTTCCTTGCGATTGCAACGCAGCATGTTTGGGACTGACAAGTTGCAGAATCTGCTGCATAACAAAGAACGAAAACGAGTTGTGAACTCAGATGCGTCCTTCGGTACGACCTGGCGGGTGGGGGTCAGGGTCCCAATGCACATCTGTGTTTTACACAAAAGCTTTGCCTTTTAATTAAAACCCCTAAAGGCAGGAAAACAGCTCTTAAATTAAAGAAAGAGGAGGGAAGGGAAGGTAGAACAGCCGATCGTAAGCTGCTAACCTTGGTTTAAATGTGTTTGTGGGGATTCTTGGGGTGCAGTGGTAATGTTCCTAGCTCAGAACCAGGAGGTCCAGGTTGAAGTTCCACCTGCTCTAGGTGAACAGGGTGATTAGAAAACATTTTAAATGCATTTGTGGGCTTCTATCAGATAAAAGCAGGGTTGGTCTGACCTGGTCAAATATTGTGATGACACAGCACACAGACTAAGATGAAAAGAATAGTCATTCAGGTAACATGCCAAAGCACCCTGATCTGGACTGCCCCACAGTATCAATGGCACAGCCGGAGGAACAAATCAAGAATAAAATTCAGTATTTACAGCACTGTTCAAGCACGACATGTTCGTGTTGGTACGATTTTTCCGCGAGAGCCTCCTCCCACCCTTTCTTTCCCTGCTCCTTCATCTGTTTATCTAGCTTCCCTTAAATGCATCTGTTATTCACCTTAATTACTCCTTGAGGGCGCCTGATTCATTGCACAAAGAGGTTTCTCCTGAGTTCTTGCATCAATTTATTGGTCATGTTCCTACATTCACAGCCGCTAGTTCTGGTTTTGCCCACAGGAGTAAACATCTCTCTATCCTTTTAAACTCTATCGTAATCTTAAAAAGTGGTAATTAGATCTTCTTTATCCCCCCAACAGAGAAAACCCCCAACTAATTATCAAGCAACTGATCCAGGTTAACTGTAATTCCATCCAAACCACCAAGTGTTTAGACTGTGATCTTACACACTTGCACTTCCCATTTCCGTCTACATTCTTGTTCCATATAGTCATGTTCAAGTTACCTGCAGAAGGGGATGGTCTGGGAAGAGAGAGCAAGTGTGTCCATCAGGCCCAATCCCCAGGATTAGCAGGTCAAACACTGGCACGTTATCACCTGGAAACAGCTGGAACAGAACAAAAAAAAGTGTTAGAACAAAGCACCCAACACAATGACATGGAATACAAGAACCTGAACACAGTCTTTTAAGAAATCATCTTGGGAAAAGTAAAAATGTATGCAAAGCTCAGGACTGGATTCACAAATATAGAAACGTAGAAGATAGGAGCAGGAGGCGGCCCTTCGAGCCTGATCTGCCATTCTTCACGATCATGGCTAATCAACCAGCTCAATTGTCTAATCCTGCTTTGTCCCCATTCGTCCCAAGTGCTATATCTAGTCGTCTCTGGAATCCATTCAATGTTTTGGCATCAACTACTTCCTGCGGTAATGAATTCCACAGGCTCACCACTCTTTGGGTGAAGAAATGTCTCCTCATCTCCGTCTTAAATCATCTACCGCAAATCCTCATACTGTGACCCCTGGTTCTGGACACACCCACGCTCAGGAACACACTCGCTGCATCTACCCTGTCCAGTCCCGTTAGAATTTTATAAGTCTCTATGAGATCTCTGCCCACCACCGCCCCCCCACCAAATATTCATCTGAACTCTAGCAAAAACAATCCCATCCTAGTCAATCTCTCCTCATACGTCAGACCTGCCATCTCTGGAATCAGCCCGGTAAACCTTCGCTGCACTCCCTCGAGAACAAGAGCATCCTATTCGCCCAATCAGGAGCCGGATCAAATTCAGCGGATGCAAAATTCCAACAAACCATCAAAATAATGGGCTTAGCAGCAGGAAGTCACCTCTGGAGCCTGGTCCAGTTTGGTGACATTTTAAGTTAATGTGTAAAACAAAAGTTCTGCCAGTCATCACTGGTTGCCGAATGATATTATCGGGTTACTGAGAACAGCCCACGCCAAGATTTGGATTGCAATGTGAATGCAGCCTTATCTTTGTCAAGTAGCATGCGAAGATGTCTTAGCTGTCCAGTGATGGAGAAAAATATTTCATCCCATCCTCACAATCCATAGCAGTGGGAAGGTATTCCACCCGTGCATTAATCAGAAACAATAGGCATAAAGTAGCCACGTTTGTGTTGGCTGGGGATATTAACAAAACGTTGCTCGTTATCCAATATTTCACCAATTAAAATAGAACTAAAATTATCATTTAGTACAGACACAATGGGCTAACTCTTTGGAAGAATAATCTTGTTATTCTTTTCATGGGATGTGAGCATCATTAGCAAAACCGGGTGCTTATTACCCAGCCCCTCACTGCCCTGGAGGTGGTGGTGGTGAGCTGTCCTTGTGAACTGCTTCAGTCCACATGGTGTAGGGACATGTTGTAATTCTGTTTTGGAGGTTGGTTGGGTGGGGTTGAAAAGAGAGAGAGAGTGAGTGAGTTTCAGGATTTTAACCCAGCAGCAGTGAAGAAACAGCAATATAGTTTTGAGTCAGGATGGTGCATGGAGGGGAAAAATCTATTGTCTCTCTGGCATAAAACTGAAAATGTGAAATTAAAATTTGCTTCCACCACCCTTTCAGTCACTGCATTCCATGTCATAACCACTCATTACGAGAAATAAAATTCTAATCACTTGCTATGTATTTTTGCCAGTTATTTTAAACCTGTTTCCGCTGACTGGAGGACACAATCTCTCCTGTGCACTCAATCAAAACCCTCTAGAAAACGTCATGAGCATAGCCTGCTTCTAGAACAATCCGAGCTTCTCTTGTCTCTCAGGAGTTACTGTAACTGTCATTGCTTCCACTCTGCAGTTAGCAATACAGTTGAACAGGTAAGGTGCACGTGTGTACACACACACACACACACACACACCCTCTATCTCTGACTGGGAGAGAGGAGCCGAGCAGCTGGGCTGGTTTCTTGGTGAGTTTCCAATCAATGCTGTCACACCATAGCACTGGGGTCACTTGACTGTATTTTCAATCTTGTTCAGTACCTCTCTCAATCTTTCTGCATACTTGTCTGCTGCTTCCTCCACAGACAGCATGGGGTTAATGGCAATGACGTAGTTATTAGGAATGGAGATTTTGGAGAGCAGTTGTTTCTGAAATGGAAAATGCTGATGATTAAATATGATCAAAATATGATTGTTGCAGCCATATACAACTAAAACATAGCAAGAACAGAACAACCTTTGCATTGAAGAACTAATTGGGATGACCCACTCATCAAATCCAGTAGCTTTACTTAAGTAATCCTTAGTTTAGATAACTGTCTATTAAAACCTTGGTATATAGTTATAATATTCTATTGACAAAAATGAATAAATTTGAAACCAATTGCATTTATATAGCCCCTCTACTAAAACACCTGAATATCTTCACAAGAGTATCAACAGAAAAAATCTGACACTGATCTCCACACAGATACATTAAGACAAGTGGCCAGTTTTGACAATACACAGAGGTTCTGGGAAAGAATCCCTGAGCTTGGAGCCCAGGCAATTACAATTGGGGGATGACAAATAGGAGTAGACCGAGAGGATCAAGAGGGTGGTTACAGGATACAGAGAAGCAAAGACTGTGAAGGGGACTTAACCCAAAACTAGAGGATACCCAAAGGCAGGCCCTTCAGCAATCTAGAACATTCACCTACGTTTTCTGTTGCCAGATTTAGCTACTGTGAAACTGCTTTATCATCTCTTCAACCTCATGTTTAAATTATGACATGAGGTTGTGAAATGAATGGCATGAAATCTAACTTGCAGCAATTACCAACTCAGCCCACAACTTTTCTGAATGTGTGGGTAGGAGAAAAGCGAGGTGGCTTGCTCTGGGATTATGTTGACAGTCTCCTCAAGATGGTAGACGAGTTTGGAACAAACTAACTTGTAAAGAGGTGACTTGATCCTGGATAAAAATCAGGACAAGCGAGCTCCGGGGAAGCCACTAGCTCATTGAAACAAACTTATGATTGGTGACAATCAGAATTCTCCAAGGAAACTAAGGACAGAGACTGCATGAATGTGCATACTCTAGATCAGGAAATGGAAACCTTATAGACAGGCAATGTTCAAGGACTGAACACTGAATTTAAAGTGCCTCCAAACTAGTCACCCACTTGACCAAATAAAGCAGGAGGAAAAATGTCACTGGCTAGATCGTCTCCATTCCAAGATGCAGCCAACTGGACACATACATGAGCAGTAGCGTTGACTATGCTTGGTGACATAACAGGCTTATTTTAGAATTCCTCAATCAACATCAATAAAACAGGTTCTCTGGTCATCGTGACACTGCTGTTTATGGGAGCTTCCTGTATTCAAACTGGCAGCTGTGCTCCCTTTATTAACTTAGTGACTACCCTCTCAAAATTACTTCACTTGCTGTAAAGAACTCTGGGACATTCCAAGCTCTCAAAAGGCATGATATCAATTAAAGTCACTGTTTTAAACTGTGACCATGACACACATCTCTGTTACAAATGCTTAATCAAGAAAAGTTAAAAAGTGAAGAATCAAGGGTCTATAATGCAGGACCAAACCACAGCAGGAGAGATGAGGAAACAAAGTGAAGGTAATTCTCATGACTAGGGATTTAAGAACCTGTAGTTCAGACAGGAAAGTCTTTAATGAAAAGAGCTTTCCAATGTTCTGAGCTCTCAATAAAGATGAATATCTTTACAAAGGCGAGGACAAGTGATTAGAACAGGGGCAATTGGAGGAATAAGAAAGATACAGGAGCATTGAGCAGAGCAGACTTGATAAGAAAAATAAAGAAGATCAAGATGCCTCAGAATTACTCACCCTTGTAGCTATGCAAGGTACA